CATGTTCAAGGACGAGTACATGTTAAGTTGATTCGTATGTAAAATATCATAATGTGATTTGTTGTACAGATGGTAGAGACACATTTCTATCTCCTWAATTGGACTGATCCCATGGGCTTTCTGCAACTTGACCGAAGCCTAAACTGAAAGAACTCATAAGACTGAAATCTGTAGACAATAAGTGTTAATCATTAAAATGTGAGTATTTTTTAGGATTCATTTGTTAAGGATGCATGGTGCTCATTTAAATGCAGGGAATAAGAACTGATAACCCAGGTCTGTTGTTCTTGGCAAGCTTTTTAAAATGTACACTAAAAAAATAATTAAACAATAAAGTTAATGCCGTTTTGATTTATTTATTACCAAACAATCTAGTCAAGTGATATAATGATAATACACTTTCTTTTTCAACAAAACCTCAATTGCACTTCTTTGTTATGAGGGTTTGACAGGGACATCTTCAGAATCATTGTCAAAAATGAAATGCACAGTGCTGTAAATTATTCTACGAGCCTTCTACAAAAACAACATCAACATTTTAATGTAGAAACAACATAATTCCAGTGTTTGGGTTAATGTGTATCCTTAATTTACTGGCAATGAAAATGGCAGAGACAGAACAGTATGAGAGTCTTTTGAAAGTCGTAACCGGAAGTTCCGTGCGTGTGTGCGTCACTTGACACGACCGTGCGAATAGAGGCGGGCAACTGAGAACGAGTTTGAAGAGTTGTGTCCCTCGGCAGATACCGTCGTCTGAGCGAAACATGAAGTACAGATAAAGTCGTGATAAAGTAATGCTTTGTTACAAAATCAGATCTAAAAACACAGTTCTCATTTCAGTACATACATTTGTTACTTTTATTTTTATGGTCCATTTGTATCAAATATCCTTGAAATTTGAAATGAAAAAATAGGCTACTTTTGAAATACTTTGTCATTAGTCTTTATGGTAGCGTTTTCTCTTGAGTATTTTGTTGGGATGTCACCGCAACAAAAACTACAGAAGAAATCCAGTCACTGCAGCGATTCCAATCAAGATGGTTGGCAGGAAATTCCTATTTTCACCTGAAAAACAGAAGAACACGTTCACATTTGATATTTATTTCCTGGAGGTTTGATGTTCATTTTGTTGACTTGATTTTTGTGAAACTTTACCCCAATTTATTATATTTTTCCAAAGCACTGCCTCCTTAAGCACTAAACAACATGAACTCACCATATGATAGCGCTATAACAACTGCTTTACTTTTGCACAATAAGTAATAATAACAATAAAAGCCCTCTGCATGCTCTGAGCTCTGTTCACCACTAGAAGAGCTGTAATCATTATTTGTGATCAGTGTTTGCTGCAGGAAACATGAAAACCTTTGTGTGGGGAAAGACAATCTGGAGCCTAGATATAAAGTACGGTAGTGTGAAATGTAAACACTCAAATTAAGAATAAGTACCTATAAGTTGTTTCGCTATGCTTATGTAAATGTATTTGGTTAGTTATACCTTTAATATGTGTTAAACAGCTGATTTTGCAAAATTACGAGTTTTGCAAATAAAAAGACACCAAAATACTTCAAGTAAGGAATTCATACTAAAATATCAATAAATGACAAAATCAAGACATTGAAAACAATCTGTTTATTTGTGACAACACAAGGAGGCATATATAAGAGGTTTTAACAGAAACACTAAATGTGGCGATTTGCATCCCATGAAAAGAGTAAAACAAATCATTTATCCATTGATTTTACTTAGACATGTTG